AAGCTTTCTAATCACTGCACGGCACACTCTTCTAGAAAGGTACAAAGGATCCAGTGGCTGTCTTTCCTGACACACTGATGGTTGGAAATATCATGGCCAAAAGAAGTTTCCACAAAATTTCTAACCATCTAAAGCAAAATATTTTGGCCCAAATGTACATGGGAGGTGAAGTAATTGCAGATCAGGAGATCACACAAGGAGAATGTGGACTCCTGTTGACTGATTCTGGCTTTTTTGCAATGAGCAAGCCAAAGCAACGTTTACGTCTCTATGTGGAACCAGACTTCTGGCTAGCATTGCCGAAATTTTACTAATCGCAGAGATAATGCAGGTGTCCCTGTCGCACTGATGATCTTGCATATTTTTCAGTGCTGGGAAAGCATGATTTACTGCCACTTGTCTAAGTTGCATTCTGTACAAGTGTAATCAGGTCTGCAGAGGGTGGGGGTATTACGTATTTAACATAGATCAAGTGACTATAGCAAATAACACTGGACCAGCTCGCTGGTAGATAGTGATATACTAACTGTGATGATTTAGAGAAGACAATCACGCATGGTTCCTGCCTTACATTGCATTGATTTTGTTTGCTAACACAGGAGCAAGACATCCCGGCAATGCCGTGCGTCGTGTACTCTGGCAATGACGCCGAGGGGGCTGACTTTTTGTACCTCGCTGTCGATAGGCAGCGGTTTTGGTCCGTGAAGAATGCAGAGGACGACATCGCTGCCATCATGGTGGCTTACTGGCTTTTTAATATACATACTCGAAAAAGGCAGCAAACAGTTGCCGTACTAGAATGGTTGTTTGTCGGCCTCAGCAGCACTACTCCGAGGCCAGTTCTGATGAAATTCCTGAACAAGGTCGCAAGAGCGTGGAATCAATGAGGCCGACAAACAACCGTTCTAGTACCAAAGGGATGCTGAACCGAGATTTGGATACACGAAACCAGGGCGAAGCACTAGGTGGGATGCTGCAAACCTTAGAACATAACTCATATGACGGTATCTTGTACGGATGGCAGTACTTTTTGGAAAATATGAGCATGATTAACAAAGCTTGCGACATTTGTATTCTCTTCTTCCCTTTTTCGAAAATATGCCCATCCAGTTGAGATACTGCAGCATGAGTGATGTTTTGGGGTCTGTAGCATCTCTCTGTGTGCTTCTGGTGCCTTGTTTTGTGAAGTCAAAATTCAGTACAGCACCCATTTAACCTTCTAACTCGAAACTAAAATAAATGTACTATACTTTCCAGACTATAGTGCACAAACTATACATTTCTAAAAGTTGATATTTTACACCGTACAGTCTATCTACGGGTGTGGACTCTACTATTTTTGTTTCAAGATTGTTCATTATTACAAAACTGGTTAGGCCAGATTGCCGTGTTTTGGATATTTTACGCTGGGATAAAGTAATCAAGACAACCTCTTACCGTCAGTCTGTTTCCCAGGCTTTCGATACCTCGCATCTGACATGTTGTTTGCTTGGGAGCCCGCAAGCAACCAACTTAGGTCAAGCTTAATCTTGAGGAACTCTGCGATTGGCTGACGAGCAGATTACAGAAAGCCCCCTGACATTCATCCGCAGATCTCTCTTTTGTGGAGTTCTCCAGCCTGAAGTTTTCCCCGAGGACTATACACCGAGTGCGGACTATCTAAGAAAATACTTTTTCTTTTTAGCCGAAACTTACCCTTGCGCATTATACAGCTGATTGTGAAGTATAGTCTGGAAAATATGGTAGCTTGTTTTAATGTTTTCAGCCCTAAACTGAAAGAAGTGTAGCTTGATTTTTATGCAACTTTAGGGTCCTAAATGAAAGTCTCATGTGCAAGGGAACAAAAAAGTATACACTCGAAACGGAAGGCGTCTAAATTGGTCTTCTGTTCTAGTCATTTTATCAAGAACCATTGTGATGTACTGAGGTAATCTGTATTGATTTTTGTTCTTTTTTTCTTGTTTTTGCTAGCATCTTAGGCCTGCACTGTGATATTTAAAGAAAATATATTTGGTTATTTGTATGGAGGACATAGCTGGTTATTTTGTTGTGCTCACATAATAGTTCAATAAATGATTATTCATTTAGTTTGGCTTTTATTGACTCAAACCCCTTAATTTTGTCTCGATTTTTACTAGCATCTAGGCCTATATATGCTGTGATATTTGATAGAATGCCTCAAGTATTGTAATTGGATATGTGTGTGGAGGACATACCTCATTATTTTTTTTGTGGTCACATAATAGCTCAATAAATAGTTATTAATTTAGTTTTTCTTTTAGTTTTTTACTCATTTTATAACAAATTGTATTTACTTGCAGCTCAATCACATGCTGTTTGTATGCAGTTGATGCCACTCGCCATGCCTTGGGCGAAAGTGTAAAGGTACTACGGCATGCCAAGTATGACAACTCGTAACCACCTCATATGCAAGGGAAATGACCGACGAGCCAGAGCAGGATGCAAGGACCAAGTATCGGAATTGAACAAGCTAAGCTCCTTGTTTATGTTTGTACCATACACTTTCTCACATTGCTTAGCTTGCATGAGCAAGTGCTGATTATGCATGTGATGCATATCACACTTCAGTGTTGGCAGTTTGACAGTTGGACACTTGATGACACATTGAGATTGGTGGCAGACTCCTTCTTTAAAATGATGTTTGAGAATGTCTCCCACTGATCTATTCTAATATACGAGTATTAAGACCATCGAGCAATTAATAAATTCAGAAGCTTTAGGCATGGAACAAATTCTGTGATATTTTCTCATTTTCCTTCCAAATTTTGTCGGAAGTAAAACTTAAATTACTCAAGATTTTCCTGTAACTTCCGTTTGCACATAAGCTTCACGTTGAAATATTACCTTTTCTGCCGTGCACATCTTGCCTTCATTATCGGACAGTGCATCTATGCACGGCTGCTTCAAGTAGCATATGTGCCGATGCATTGCACACATCAAATCAGGAATCCAGTTTCTGTAACAAGGTCCTGTGCTGGCACTGCACTTTTGCATCTCCTTATTTCTTCACTTATCTGGTCTGCATACTTCGTGGTTTTCTGGTTGCCATGCTTGGCATACTGAACCCTGTTTGACAGGGGCTGAGATACAGGGTGATTCATTCTCATCGGAACAGATTCTTGTAAAATAAAACTTTTGTTTTATGCAAATTATCTTTTTACAGTTGAGTTATAGTTGTCCTGGCAGACACTTTATACAGTCAGGATGACAGTTAAAAGTGGACTTATTGCATAAAATTCATGAATTAGCTTTTTAGTTACTGGTTCGATAGCACCAGCACATATTGTGAAAATGGGGGCAGTCACCTTCTCAGACCAGCTTATTTTTCGTGAAATGAGCACAAACCTCAGAAAAAAACGATTGTGAAAGATTGTTGCACACAAAACGGGTTGTGGGATACAATACTTTCTGGACCGCTACAATACCGCTGCCGTTGGTGAAATGATATTTTATCTTTTTTGGTCTATGTGCTCATTTCAGGATTTATAAAAAAATTACTGATTTAAGGAAGTGATTGTCTTCAATTTCGTAACAGCTGTCGAACCAGTAATTGGAAAAGTTAATCAACTAATTTTAGATAATAGTCCACTTTTAGTGCCAGCCTGCCTGTACAAAGTGTCGGCTTGGCTAAGTGCTCATCTGTAACGAGATCATCTGTGTAAATGAGAAAAGTTTTGTTTTACAAAAGTTTATTTCGATTAGAATGAATCATCCTCGAGCACCCATTAAAATCAGCATCAGCACCCTTGGATTGGGGTGCATTGCACCTTGCACCCTATCCGCGTCTCCAGCACGACGCTCGCCCTCCCGCGGCGGAAACGGGAAGCGCTTTAGTGAGGGTCCCCCGATTCTCCTGCTCAGCTTGCATGGCGGAACTGCTCGCGATCATGGCTCGCGAAATGTGGTTTCCGAATGCAAACAACACTCTTCACTGTCCCAACGTAGTGCTGCAGCCGGTATGGGATTGTACCTTACTGGAGAGTTTTAGTATTGCGCATAGAAGCAAACGCAAGCGGTGTGCGTTTGCGTTAGAGTTGCGTGCCCCACGTTGTGCGTGCGCCTCATCGCCATGCGCCATCCAAGACCGCAATTTCGGGCTCCGCGCACGCGCAGTGTGGAACGCGCAAAGCTAACGCAAACACACAGGGCTTGAGTTCACTCGTATACGCACTATTAAAACTCTCTACTGTTCCACCGGCTTCCAACGCCAACGAAACGTGCTGCAGTGAGCAGACGTGCAAGCAGGTAGGCGTTCCTTCGAACTGGAAAGGCTGAGAATGGCAAAACGACGGCGAGCAAATACAAAAGTAAATAAATGTTATGGAAAAACTAGTAATAAAAAAACAATTTTTTTAAACTTTTGGGCACTTGGTCTGGAAGTATATTGGCGGCAACTTTGGACGTTTCGCCAATTGTAAAAAGTCGCGACTTTGATAGCACAATACACTTTACCGACAATTAATGTAGTTTTCCATGGATTTCTCACAGTATCTAGAATGTTTTCATTGATTTTAGACTATTTTTATTTTATTTATAATTAAAATGCAGCAACTGAAACCAGTGATGATAATTAGGGGATCGGTGGCCGAGTGTAAATGTGCTTGCGTATGCGGACGATTTAACAGTGCTGTGCTCTTCGAAAAATCAAGTGCAGGCGGCGGTTCAACATATCGGCGCCTTCTGCACTGCCTCCGGTGCCCAAATGAACGCGGGGAAGTCAAAGGGAGCGTGGCTTGGCGAATGGGGCTCCAAGCCGGAACAATTTCTTGGCATAAGTTTTGCGGACTCGGTGACGAACTATTTAGGAGTGAATTTGAACCCGGAGCGTCTCAGCACGGGACGTGGTGGAATCGATCTGAACCGTCTAAATGTCAAAGTGTTAGAGTGGCACGGTAGGCAGATGTCTCTGCCTACTCGGGCTTTTGTCTGCAATGCTGTTTTTTTTTTCCAACCATATGGTATCCAGCCCAAGTGGGACCATGTGCACAAAGTGAGATTTGCAAAGTGCACCGCTTTCTTGCCACCTTTGTGTGGGAATCACTGTTTGAGCGCATGAGACGCGACAACTTGTTTTTGAGCCAAAAGAAAGGTGGCCTGGGGTTAGTAAACGTTGAACTTAAGTTAAAAGTTCACCGTTTTATGTTTTTCAGAAGTCAGAGGAACGACATTGTTTTATCCTCCTTCAGAGTGCTCGGAGGCAATTTTTTAGGAGAGTGGCTAGAAGGTGAGGCTGGATCTTCCCGTTCGCGGATCTTAAAATTCTACAAAGAAATTGAAGCAGCGATTAAGTTTTTTAAGGACCGCTTCTCTGATGAGTACCTTGACAAGGTGAAACGAAAGACCCTGTACTGGGACACGCTCGACATGCTAATTCCTGTCCCACTGTATCGGACGTGGGGAGGAACAGCAGTGGAATCGGATGTTTTCAAACGGCTCCGACGCTATCCCGTAAGAACAGCTACAAAACAATTTTTCTTGCGTCTACATCTGAGGGTTCTCCCGGTAAAAACATGGTTGGTGCAAAAGGGTTTTTTCGTACCGTGGTCCACGAATTGCGCGCTTTGTCCTTTTCCAGAGACTCTCGAACATGTTATCCTATTTTGCACAAATGCTGAACGTTTTTGGGCACAGCTGCGGGCGGCACTAGAAGTTGATCTGTATGTGTCGTGGCGAAGTGCAATGTTTCTTGAGTGTGGGACGGGAAGAGATAGTCGAGCCTTTGAGGTTCTGACCATCCTTGGTTTGCACGCGTTGTGGAGGTCAAGAACGGATCACCTTCATGTTGTCGAAGGAGGGAAACCAGCTTGGAGGCATTTTTTGGATGGTTTTGTGTATGCCAGCTCGCTGATAGCGACGACAGAGCAGGATGGGCTTGAGTGTTGGGAAACACTGAAGGCTCGGCTCGGAGTGTGCGGGCTCTCTGCCATCGCCAAGTAGAGGCACGCCATTTGCTTTGCGGCGGTCTCCAGGGTTAGTACTGCCTATTCATTTGCGGCCTTTGAACTGCGGATTAGACACGTGAACTGTTGTGTCGCTTTGTGTTACTTTGCACGCTGCACACTGTGTTATGCTGTTTTGTGGTTTTTTCTACACTTTGAGTGCATGAGGAAGTGTGAACGAATTTTTTTAAACATGTACATAAAGATCAATTTTAAATAAAAAAAAAAAAAAAAAAAGGATCGGTGGCCGAGTGGTCTAGCGCACACCAGCTCGGAGCACGTGGAGCGAAAGCTCGCGCTGCAGAACCCAGGGATCCTGGGTTCGAGCCCCACCCCTGCCCGTTTTGATCTGGATGAGCATCGTACCGGCGTGCGGTCGTGTATCACTACTGTGTGATGCACGTTAAAGACCCCAGGCTAGCGGCTGTACCGTACTGGCTAAATTTCTCATCTACAGCTGGGAGACTCGTCGCCCCTGTGAGGCAGACCAAGTTCTAGGCTGTATAAACACACACACAACCCAATTTTTTTTATGATAATTAGCACAGTTTTCATTGTCATATTTCTTCGCGCGTTTAGAATTAGATCATAAGCAACAAATTATACTAGAGCTCGAAGAATTATTTTATCAAATATGTGAATTTTAATATTATTATTCTTAATACAAATCGCGGCAATGCATGTATGCCTCTAATTAACGCCAAGATCACGAGAATACTCTATTTAACCATAATAGTCTTTCCAGAAAGGTATAATTCTGTTTTCTTTTTAGCATATGAAAAACTCTGACATAGTTATCAAGATAGACAAACAGTTAAACGGTGGATGTAATATGAAGTCCTCCGCGTCACGCGGTGCTATAAACACACACATACACACACACACATAAGCTGTCTGACTCGGATTCCGTCTTGGGTTGTTGCAGTGAGAGCAGCGTTTATTAGTTTATGCGTTTCGCGGACATATTGTAAAAAATTGGAATTATTCTCTTATGCTTGTGCTGGGATAATTGTCATTATTTCCCATGACAATTATCTGAGCGAGAAAAAGGCAGCGAGAACGCACAGATATCAGCACCTATTTTTTCAACAACTACGAATATCAGCCTGGATCGAACCATATGTCACAAAATAAAGTTTCCGCGAACAACTTTACAAAGTAAATAATTACGATGTGAGACACATCTTGAGTCATGAAAGAATCCGAAATTAATACCTCTACCGAGAAATTAAATCCAAAATAGAGGTAAGTTTCGGTTTCGCTCCAGAATTAAAATGCGCATCCTTCCGCAATTAATACGCTAAACACCGTTCTTGTTTTCAGGTTAAAGAGGTGACCTGCGCTCCTAAAACATTAGCTTGCTCGTATTACCAGAAATAATTTATGTCGCTCACTGATGCCAGCACACTAGACAGGCTCAACAGCGGCACGCATCTCTGACCCTCACTAAGCCCGCCATCTTGGAAAATGAGTGGCGCCACCTATAGTTAGTTGAAGTCGCGAATACTACTTCACACCCCTATAGGGTGCTTTGGCAGAGGGGTGCTCGTTTGCACCCTCAAAGGGTGCTCGTCCTGGGACAAGTGCTTTACACCCCTAAGGGGTGTAAAAAAGTTTAGTGTGTAGCAGAAGAGCGCCGACGCGCTCTGGAACTTGAACTCGAGCTCGCTCGGGTTCGACGGGACACCGCGACGCAGAGGCATGACGAGGCGAGCGAGGCGGAACCTTTGAGCGGCCAGATGGAACTCAGATATTACTCCAAGCTGCTAGCAGGTGCCTTTACGAAATTCCCAACCGACGGCGAGGTGCCTATTTGGTTCGAGTCAGTGGAGAGCTCACTGGGAGCGTACGACGTTCCCAAGGCGCTGTGGGGGCAGATCGTCTTTCCGATGATCGCTGAGCGGGTTGCATACTTGTCGACGCGACCAACCCTTGCGGAACACAGGGATTACGCTATACTCAAGGGAGTAGTTCTCGACGAGTTGAAGCTGTCAGCGGCCGAATACCAAAGGCGGTTTCTTGCCGCGACCAAGCGAAAGGGGGAGACCTGGGAAACGTTTGCAACTCGTCTACAGAGTTACATTAACTTCTATGTGGAGGCCCGCGGCGTCTCCTCCTTTAAGAATCTTCTCGAACTGTTAGTCGCCGACCAGTTGAAGTCGGGTTTAGCAGAAGAAGCCACCAAGTACGTTAAGCTGCGGGAGGGGGAAGAATGGTTAAAAGCAGACGAACTGGCTCGGCTGCTGCAGACCTATGAGGAAGCGGCGGGCGAGGGCAGTGCGTGCGCGAAAATAAACCTCGCTAAAAGGGCAGAGTCAAAGGGTACCAACCAAGGGGTAATACCGAGCGCATCAAAAACAACCGGGAGCGTTACAGCTCGGGCAGAGAAACCCGAGACGACCAGGCCGCCCTCGGTTGTTAAGAAAGCGTCTCGGCCGGGCGAATGCTTCCAGTGCGGAAGCACGAGCCACTACGTGGCTCAATGCCCGTTCGCTCGGGAAGCGAGAGGGATAAAAAGTGACGAACGACCACGCGGAGAGAGATTAACGGCACGTATCGCAGCTGAAAGCCGCAGCTTGGCACATCCAAAGCTAGGGAGCGTCAAAGTTAGCTGCCGAGGCAAGGTAATTGATGCAATTGTCGACACCGGAGCAGACATCACCGTAGTCCGTGAGAGCAGTGTGCCGGAGGAACTGCTAAAGCCGCACGGGAGTATAGAACTCGTGTCCGCATTCGGCGAGAAAGTAGAAGCTCAGCTCGCCGTGGTACCACTCGCACTTTACCGCGGGGCATCCTTGATTCACGATGTGGGTGACGCAACGCAGGTCGTGTGCGCTCTTACGGATCGGCTCACACACACCGACTGCCTGATCTCCGCGGAAACATGGGAACAGTTGCAAGCGCATAATGAGGGGGATGACGAGGTTCACATACAAGCAGTGGGAAAACGGGGCCAGCAGGGAGAGCAGGGACAAGAACAGGAGAACCTGTTCGAGCCACCGAATTCCAACACGATTTCAACCGATGTGCCCCCACCGCCTGATATCCCCGGAGAAGAGCGAGAGGAGCCGAATCTTGAAACTGAGGTAACGCAAACCAGTGACGCGCTAAAGTTCCGTAATGAACAGCGAGATGACGAGTCATTACGACGGGCTTGGCAAAACGCAAAAGGTGGCAAGGCGGGCATGTCAATAGTAGACGGATTGCTGTACCATAAAGATCAAGTACTTAGTCAGAAAGTGCTGCAGTTATTACTACCCGAGTCGCGCCGCAGCACTGTGCTTCGCCTGGCCCATGAGTCCTACTGGGGCGGTCATCTCGGCTTCCGCAAAACAAAAGCGCGCATTAAGTACAGTTTTTACTGGCCAGGCATGGAGAAAGACATTCGCGACCATTGCAACGGATGTCACAGTTGTCAGGTTCGATCAGACAGACGGCGGTCCGATAGAGTGGCGATAGCACCGCTCACGCGTCCGAAGTTCCCATTTCAGAAAGTCAACATCGACGTGATCGGCCCTATCGACCCACCTTCAGCCAGAGGGCACTGCTATGCATTGTTTGTCATCGACTTGTGCACACGCTGGCCAGAGGTGGTTTGCCTAAAGTCACTGTCATCCAAGGCGACATGTGATGCGCTGCTGACCGTGTTCACCAGGACAGGAGTGCCAGAAGTAGTGTGTTCGGACTGCGGAACGAATTTCACAGCTGCACTTACTAGCGAGTTTCTCGCGAGACTGGGTTGCACCCCACGGTTCTCGACCCCTGACCGCCCGGAAAGTAACGGGTCCGTGGAAAGGTGGAACCGTGTATTCAAAAATATGTTGTTTCACGTAATCGAGAGAGACGCCCGAGACTGGGATCGATTCGTCCCCTTCTTGCTGTGGCCCTACCGAGAGGTCCCCCACGACACAACGGGAGTGTCGCCTTTCTGGATGCTTTACGGTAGAGACCCGGTCGGGCCTCTCGCTATCCTCGGGAGTAGCTGGGCTGGTGATATTGAGATCCCAGCGGAGTTAGCGGACGCTCCCGCGGACTACTTAGAGAAATTGAAAACGCAACTAGAGCTCGCAGCTGACGCCGCGGAGCTCACCACAAGCAAGCAACAGGAGGCGTACGCGTCGCACTACAACAAACGCGCCATGTTAAAGGTGTTTAACGAGGGTGACGCGGTCCTCGTCTTTGACACAAACCGCGCAGGGAAAATGTACCCGAAGTGGCTGGGGCCGTGCACAGTAACGGAAAGGTATCATGAGCACCCGTACTACGTGCAGACGCGCGATGGCCGCCGCATGCTAGTGCACGCGAACAAACTGCGCCCCTACACACTAAAAATTTCAACACCCATGTTCGTGTTAAAAGGGTGTTTTTCCGAGCTCACACCCTTCCTACACCATTTTTACATGATTTTTGAATATTCAAGGGTGTACGGAAAGGCCTACACCCTTCGTACATCCTTTTTACACCCTACGGCTACCGAAATCGTGTTAAGAGGGTGTTGCGGTGGTACACCCATGATTTCCGAATCGTCGAACTCGGAAACCGCCGAATTGCAGACATAAGCGCCGACAGCAGAAGTCAAGAAGCAGCCTGCTCAATTTAGAGGATTTCGTGAAGTTCAAGTAAGCACAATGGGCAGCTGACATCCAAGCCAAGCCAACGCTCAAGTTGTTTTCAAGCCAGATGAATGCCGGCGTTGTGTACAAGCTCCTTGGTTGTTTACGTGCAAGCGACCACGAAAATATCATCGGTTACTCACGCACTTCTGCTCAGAATGGTGAGACCACATCGGTTCTATTATGATACATTCCGTCTCATCCTGAGATGTACTAAAGCGAAGGCTAGACGTGCGAGACGGTTCGGGCTCACAGCTTTACTGTGAGCCTGTACCGTAAAGGTCGGTTCCGACACTTGCGTTTGAGTGTGTTTGTCTGCGTTGCGTTTAGAACCGAAAACGAGTCACCGGCACATCTGTGCTTCATATGAAGCGTGGATTCCAATTCAAAGAATCATCTTGGCACGCGATATAAGCAGCAGGGATGTCCTGGTTTCTCGCAGCCGCAACGCGGTCAAACGCAACTGTTTGAACCAGGCTTTACGTGGTTGTCCTGGGCTTGTCCCTCGCGCTTTATTCTTTCGATTTTAAGTATTCATTTTCAACTCGCTCGCTTTTACCAGTATTAGTAGATACTCAGGCTGCACGAGGGTTCGTGCAGTGCGACCATCTAGCGATGCTATGAGCTTGTGCTCGAGCCTTGGCTTTAATGCATCTTAGTGGGGAAGGCAATCATCGGGGATATATGACACACGATGATGCCAAGTCTGTTCACGGCGGACCCTCGTGCTGTTCTGATTGGAGGAGAAGGGGCGTGTAAAAAATTGGCAAATGGAACATGGTTAGCGACAGCGCAAATATATGTTGGAAAAAGTTCAGAACGTTAAAGTGCAGCAGCCTGAAACTTTGGAGTTAAGCAATTAGAGAATCATTTGAAGACATCTTTAGAGGTTCAGCCTTCTCTCCCCCCACACCAATATCGAAGGCTGCTAGGATATTGGTTCAGGCTAAGCCCTCTGTCTTTCAGTCAGCGAACTCGAGCCGTTCCACCTGACCTTGTTATTTCATAACAGATATGTTAGAAAATGGAATGCAGATTTTCTTTACACGGCCAAAACATAAAGTGTTATCAAATAATACCTGCCATATTCATATTCTACATTTACAGACCGGGGCTGCCCCGCCTGTGGAGGGTGAAGATGCGAGCAGCCTCGAAGCCCACCAACAGTGGCTGTGTGCTGAGAGCGAAAGCTGGTGCCTGACGAAGGCCAGATTGATCTTCGAAAGGATGCGACTGCCTGCAAATGGCTACATGTGTTGATATTCATGGGCATATAGACTGCAAAGAATGCTTATCCCTACCTGATGGATGCTAGGAGGGTATGCATTCCATATTTTTTTACTGATCTCTACAACAATTGCTAAATTGCGCTTCCCCGCTCCGTGATTGCGGCTGCCGGACGACCATCTTGGGACACGGAAAATTAACCTTTTGGAGCGTTGCAGAGGCTGGCCGGCAGCGTGCTGCAGACATGTTTTTTGCTCGTTTGTCGTCATTGGGAGCGTTAAAGTGGCTCTGCAATAACTTTTGGACTGGTTTTTAATTTGGACCGAACCTGAGCGCACTCAACGTAGTAATTTAAAGAAACTTTTCTCCAATTTCGCTTTATTTTAAAAGTTATAGGCAAATTAGACTTACAAAAACAAGCAAAAAATAACATCCTTCATGACGTCGTAGGTCCTGGTTTGAGTGGCCGTGAAGTAGTGAGCTCATCGAGCGCTCACGGCTGCCGCACTCAGTGTCGACGGCTCGAGAGGGTGCCACTAAAGCACGTGTTGACTAGGCTGTATGAAGTGGGTGGCCAGGGCAGCTCGCATTGCATTTGCCGCGCGATTAAAGACTAATTCGGCATAACACTTCATTGGCCACAAACGACGGTAAACACGGGGTAAAGATCAGTTCAGAACGGGAGCCACTTCGCGCTGTCATACCGCCAAAGGGTCAAATCGCCAGCCAAGCCCGCGCCGAAAGCCTTGGGAACGCTCGGAACCGGTCGGATCCTCGAGCCAGTATACGACCGCAGCGCCACCGCGTACATCCGGGACCTTTCTAAGCCCATTGTTCGTCGGAGCCTCATCCCACTACGCCTTTCTAGTACAGTAAAACCTCGTTATAACAAAACGGGATATAACAAAGCAATCATAATTCCCCTTGCTTGCTAATAGTGGGAAGAAATGGACATTGGCTATAACAAACTAATGGTTATAACGAAATAATTACGACCGCTCCTTCAACTTTGTTATAACGAGGTTTTACTGTATGCGCCGTTTTTTTCACCGCTTGGTGGCGGGTTTGTCGACGGGTCTTTTCTTGTTTCCGTACTTTATAAACTGCATTTGTTTCTTTTCTGATCTAAAATACTGAACAAAAACTACTTTCATACATAATTGAAACGGTTCGCGACACTTATATTTTGTATCGACTAAAAAAAAAGCTTTTAGCAGCTCTGACCAGTAGTAAGCCCAGGACCAAAGACGTCACATATTCCGCGCTTTCGGCAACGCGGGTCGCCCTCGTAGGTGGAGGAGGTTTCCGCGTCGTCCGGTTAAAATATGACTCACTGATATTTAGTTCTTCTCTCCGTGCCCGCTGGCTTACCCGAACCCAAAGAGACGTGGAAACCGCAAAAGAGGTAGACGCTTAAGTATGATTGCAGCTCCCCTTTAAGTCCACACTCCTTTACCCCTACTCTGACGCTCCGAGTTTCATACTCCAGGCACAGCAACTAAATGGCGCATGGCGTACAGGAGCGCGACACACCGAATCTATTGACAAGCCGCACAAGCTCCTTCCCACCGCACGGTTATGACGAACCTGGCATCCCGTGGATACGGGTGGGAGAAGCCAAAATTATTTCGGTGGTAAATTAATTAAAGCCAGTGTAGAGCGGCAGGGTACAAAGTAAAAGAGACGGCGACGTTATGAAGTTTCTACGAACGTTTAAGTATTTCTTAGAGGTTTGGAGACTCGCTTCGAGCACGTGCGGGGAAAGGCACCTTGGCTGATCTATTTATTGACCGTGCAAGCTGTTTATATTTGAATTAAAGACAACATTCTTGAACTTGTTCGTCGACGCACGAAACCCTCACACTTGCCAGATATTTCGTGGTTCCATATTGCAGCGAGACGGAATGCGATGGAAGCTGTTGATGTGCTATGCCGATACCGGAACACTGTCGTTCAATAGATAGCACGTCAATTCGTTTCAGGCGAGACTTGAACATGATGTTTCGGCTTTCCATTCGAAGTATCTTGATTCTCTGGGCAAAGCATCCTAGAAAGGGCAGCGCTCCGACTGTCTTCTCATCTCAACAACTTTTCTGTCGCTGTGCTGTCGGTAACCTTCCGTTCAATAGATGAATTCGTTTTCAGGCGAGATGCACAAACAAACCTTTCCCGCAATGCTAACTGATGCTTCGGCTTTCCAATCTAGGTATCTTTATTCGCTGCAGCTGGACTAAGCAGTTTAAAAAGGGCAGCCGTCCCACTGTCTTCTCGGCCGGCAACTTTTCTGTCGCCGAGCTATCAGCACGCTCGTTCGATAGATCGCTTTGTTCTCAGGCAAAGCACATGAACAAACCTTTTCCGGAATGCTAATTGCTGTCTTGGCTTTCAAATCAAATTGTTTTTACCTGCTGGATTAACCACTAATGACTGAAAAGGAGCAGCTGTCCGGCTACGCCTTTTGTTTCAACAATCTCAACAATGGCACAGCCATCTTGTTTGTGGACGTGACATCACGGAGCGCAAAGAAGTCACTTGTGCTCCAAGAAATGCTCGGAGCACGAAGAGCACGCTCGAGTGTCAGTCTCCGGCGGCGCTCCCTCTGTTTAGTGAAAGTAGCGCCAAACGCTCGCAATGTGTAAACTATAAGAATTTCCTTTGAAATCGCATAAAATTTTTTGCAACAGCGCGGCACCGCAAGAAAAAGGCACAACTTGTCGAACGTCGAGTCTCGCCGGTCTTGCGGCGTGATCAAAGCTTCCTGGGCCTGCCAAACTGCTGCGTCTCTGTGCCTTTTCACGCTTGGATACTTATCAAGAATCGATGCCATGGCAGAGCTTTGAAGGTATGTCGCACATAGGCGTCTTCTCTATCACCCAGCTGTTCCAGCGAGTTGCTATCAATAGGAAACGAAATCGGTGGTTGCTATTATGGATTAATCATGGCTGTGTTCCAAATCTATTTAAATGGATCACATGACAGCACAAATAGAGCAATGCTGTGGAAGAAGGTAGGTTTTCGAAGGCAAAATAATGAAGCGGCGATATCTGAAGTTTTTAAAACGTGGCCCGTCCATATGGTTGTGTGCAATCTGTCGTCGTCGCCATAGCTTCCTACCCCTCCTTTGTCGCCACTGGATCATGCCCGCTTCTGGACTGCAAGTGCCGCGAGTTACAAATACAGTCGTAAGAGTAAAGTAAAATGCTGCTCCAGAGGCACATGCATCTTCATGCTCTTTGCACTCACGAAACAAATCCACACGGCGTTAATTCTTGATCGGTATTCAAGCATGCGAAGACAAAGATGCAGCACTTTGGCATGCCAAGGAAGCTTTTATCATGCCGCCAGAACGGTAAGACTTGCGTTAGACGAGTTGCCCCTTTTTCTTGCGGTGCTGAGTTTTCGT